AATTCCGCATGAAGCCTCTCTGGGCGGCTCAATGATTTCCTGCCAAATCTCGGAGATCCGTCCGCTTTTCCCCTCTTTTCGCTCCATCCCTCTTTCCCTTCTCCAGCCGGGGGGCCAAGGAAGCGCGCGTCGAGTGGGGGCGAAGAGCGAGGGAGAGAGAGAGCGAAAAAAGAGGCGCCTGTATGCTCGATTTGGCTCGCCTCCCTCTTCCCGAATCGGCTCGAGGCGTGGGGGGGAGATGGACGGCAGCAGCAGCAGCAGCAGGTCCAGTGCTGCATAGTGAAATCAAATTGACTCACGAGCAAAGGCAGCCTATCGGATGCTGCAGGCTCGGCCGTGCCCACTCTGCATACATGAGGGCGCTTCGGCCAGCCAGCCAGCCAGAGTGGTGCTGTAGATGGCATAATCTGCCCGACTGTGCACTGCATCGGCTGCCACTCGTCTGTGCGATTGCGAGCAGTCCCTGGAGTCGCAGCACCAGCAACAGCAGCAAGCAGCAAGCAGTGCCTGAGAATGGCACAGGGTCTCCTCCAGCCGAACCAGACGCGATACAATCCCAAGCCTCGACCTCATCCTCGACTTCATCCAGATCCCATCAGCCCCTCCCTCGCCTCGCACCGCGCATTCACTCGAGGCACACATCCTCGCGCATCCTCGCGCATCCTCTCCCAATCCTGCTGCACACCCGATCGAGTTCCACCTCGCCCCACCTCGCCTTACACCGCGCCCGCCGCGGCGTGCTCTTCCAGATCCTGCTTGCACTGCAGAGCCGGCAGCATCCATTCGCCCGAGCATGCCGTCGCCCTTCTTCGCCTAGAATCCACGATCCACATCCATCGATTTCAGCATGTCCGAGTCGTCCTCCAAACCGACCATCAACACGCGCATGCCCAAGGGCGCAAAGCGTCCAAAGACCTCGCGCGCCTGTCTCGCCTGTCGCAAGCTCAAAGCAAGGTGTGAGCCGGCAGGAGGTACAAAGGCCGCTCCCTCAGACGATCCGCAACCCTCCTCCCTCTCCTTTGTCATCTGCCATCGATGCAAGACGCTCTGCATAGACTGTCTCTACGAGACTCCCGCCGGCGAAGTCGTCAAGGGCGAAGACGTCCAGCCTGCCATCTCGTCGCCCTCCCCCGCAGAAGAGCACAACCGCGCGCCACGCTCCTCCAAACGCTCCCGCCCCGAAGACGCACCATCCTCGGATCCCTTTAGCAACGATCGCGCCGTCTTCCTCTCGCCCGCCATCTCGCCTAGCAGCCTCACCCGCTCCATCTATCGCGACGTGGACATATGCTCCCTCAACACACTCCAACCTGCCTACCTCGAGCGGCCCGTTCTGCCCGCCAATGCGCTGTCTCGCTTGATCGGCGCGAACCCCGCCCTCAAACGCGATGCTCAGGACTACATCCTCAACCTCTCGGGCGCCTTTGGCTCGGGCTCCACACACAGCTGGAAGCAGGCCCCGCCAGACTTGTGCGCAGGCAAGGCTGCCGCACGTCTCATGGCTGGCCACGCACCCCTCCCAGCCTATCCTCACGACGAGCTCGAATACCTCGGCCGCATCCTTCAGCCTCACGAGCATCAGCTTCGCATCCTCTTCCACGGCCTCTACGGCGCCTTTTCCCCCTTCCTCTCCACGCCCTTTGAGGACTCGCTCGTCCTGTCGAATGCACAGTCCGAGGCGCAATCCTTCGTGCTCCTCACCATCTACCTCGCCGCCTTCCCACACCTCGAGGCCTCCCAGCCCATAGCGCAAGCCAAGGCACCGCTCCGAAAAGCCATCGATGCGCTCCTCCGGCGTGCCATCCAGAGCCCACAGAGCGACCACCTCAACATCTTTGCCCTGCACAATTGCGCCACCTTCCTCCTCCTGCCCGTCGACGGTCTGGCCGAAAACTGCCGCCCCATCTCCACCCCAGAGCAGGAGGTCGATGGCTTGCTCGAGTTCGCCCCCGACCTCAACCCGAGAGCCACGATCATCACCGCTCTCATCGTCGCACAGAGACTCGGATATGCCAGTCTTGCTGCGCGTCTGCCCTCGCTCCGCCAATCCTTTGACGTCGATTCGCCGCAGAACGGCTACTCGGGCGACCCGACGCGCGACGAGTACGCACACGCCGTCCTGTGCACCTTCACCTGGCTCACGCTGCTCCAATTCCGCGCCTCGATAGACGTCGCCGAGGATCGCGTCGAATGGGATTCGCTCGCCCAGTTCGAACGCGACATCCCGCGCGTGCGCATCGACGCCATGACGGCAGCGCTTCAACCGCCGCCCGCCTTCCTCTCGCCTCGCGAACAGAGCCGTTGCTGTTGGATGGCACAGCGCGCCGAGCTCTACGGCATCGCGCGCGACCATCGACACACCAAGCGCGCTGCCGCCTCCTTCACCAAAAAGGAGGCCGAGGACCAGGCCATGGGCTACAAAAAGGCGCTCGACGAGTGGCGCTACAAGTTTGGCGAGCAGATGCGCAGCATGAGCACCGAGTTCCGCAAGGATCCGCGCGGCCTTGGCCTGCATCGCTTCTACTCGATCTTTTCCAATGCAGAGGCGGCTTCGCTCCAGGTCGCCATCGGCTCGGTCTACCACAAGGAGTTTGTCGCCGACATGCGCCAGCGTCTCGCCGAACCCTTCTTCAGCGACGGCCTGCCTTGGAAGTCGGCGGCGACCATCCTGCTCGGCCACGAGGAGGACCAGCTGACCAAGGCGATCCTCATCAACTTTGCCTTTACTGATGCCATGCTCAAGGCGATGGGCCTCATCTCGAGCCTGACGCCCGTCATGCCGCAGTTGTACGACTTTGTCTCGTACGAAGAATCGGCCGGCAGCGAGATCCCTTCGCTCTGCATTGTTGCGCCGCCCAACCTCCAGGCGGGTCTGTTTGCTGTGCCGCTGCTTGCGGCTGCCGACCTGCGTCTGTCGGTGATCGAGACGTGGGGCGCCAGCGCGTCCTACTTCAACCACCACGTCATGCCGCTGCTCACCAACTGCGTCAAGTCGCTGCGTGCGTGCCACGTCAACGTGGATCTGCCGGGCGTGCTCAAGATCCCCTTCGCCACCGCCAATCCGATCGCCGACTATCTGCAAGGGCCATTCGAGATCCTCATGCGCAAGGTGGCGTCGGCCGAGGAGCGGCTGCAGATCTCGCACGTCGAGAGCATCCTCAACAATTCGTTCTTGCTCTCGAGTAAGAAGAAGCAGATCGAGACGGTGGCGGAGGAGCTTGCGCCCGATGTGCCCGAGATGGTGCAGGCAATCGCCGACAGTAAGAAGATCGAGGACGAGATTTCGGCGGCCATGATGGGTGCGCTGAATGTGCAGTCGATCCGCGAGATTCAGGATACGGATTTTGCGGTCAAGGTGTTTGGATCCGATCTGCGCGAGGGCGACGTCAAGGCGATTCGCAAGCCCGGACGCAACGGTAGCAGCTCGGCGACGACGCCCGATGCAGAGAACCACCGCAGGGGTCCGAGCAACGCACGCTCGAGCAGTGTCGAGAGCGAGCAGACGGGGAGCCCTTCGGTGTTGACGCACTCGTCCAAGCAGAGGACGCCCATGCACCGCAGTGTGCGCTCGGTCGCCAATGCTTCGCAGTACTCGAGCCCGAGCTCGTCGACGCAGTCGGGCAACGCTGCGCCGCCGGATTCAGCGGTGGTGTATCACAAGGATCCGGCCGTGCCGCCACAAGGGCTGGAGCAGACACCTGCTATGGGGTATGCTCATCCTCCGACAGCGTACGAGGCTTCGGTGCTGCAACCACCGTCGCAGCCGCATGAGCAGGCATTGGCGTCATCGTACGCACCCATCTCGCAGACGACGCATGCGGGACCAACGTACGCGCCTGCGTATGCCGAGAGGAGCATCGATGCACCGCACGGCTATTCGGGTTCCGCTTCGGGCGTGCATGGCATGGACGCGTATGCGTCGTATCCCAACGAGCGGTATCCCGCAGAGAGCGTGCTGGGTCTTGAAGCCGGCCATGCGGGTGCGGCAGGAACGGCAGGCACGGGCTCAGCCGACGTATACGCCTACCGGTCCGATGGCGATCATGTTTCGGCACCAATGCACGCTGCGGGATACGACGGGATGCAGAGGCAGGGAGCCAAGGCAGAGGGTGCGGGGTACGAAGGTTATGCGAATGTGCCGCAGGAACAGCCTCAGGTGTCCGAGCCCTGGCAGCAGCAGCAGCATACACAGCAGCCTCAGGGTTACGGTGGTGCCTATGGTGGCGATGCAGCGTCGAGTCAAGCGTACTATGGCCAGCAGGTGAGCGAGCAGCAGTATGCAGAGCCGTATGCGCCGGTGTACGATCAGGCTCACTACCAGGTCGGGCAGGGACAGCACCCGGTGGCGCAGGGGCAGCATGGCTCGACCATATGGGACGCGTGGAATTGGACCCCAGGTCAGGATCAGCCCCCGCATCACCAGCACCCGCACCAGCAACATGGTCATCACCAGCAGCAGCACCAGCCGCACCCACATCAGCAGGGCCAACATCACCACCAACAGCAGTACCGAAACTGAAATTTGGCGCACTTGTTCTTGCCGGGCAGCGCCGTCGTTGCGCAGTAATCTTAACGTGTTTTGTGTACAACCGACGCTCGCGTAGCAACGA